GGTGTGAATGAGACAATGGCCCCCAGGATTGGGATGGAGCAGTGCAGCTGCCAGTTCTCCTATGCCACGTGCTTCCGTGGCCTGCAGCCAGAAGCAGAGGAAGAAGACCGGGCCTTGGAAGCACACCCCACTGCCCCCCTCACGTCGCCACCCTCTGCAGGAAGCCGGCTGGCCCTCCCCTGGAGGCCTGCCCGGGCCCGCAGCTGCAGTGCGGAGCCCCTGTCGAGGAATAGCCACATCTGGCCAGAATACTGCTCCAGGGCCCTGAGACAGCTGAGAGCTGCCCCTGCCAGCACCCCGGAGGGCTTTAGCCAACTCACAGAGAGCTTACTGGAATTACAAGATATTTTAGAAGCTTCCTGGGGGAATGGGAACAAACATCCCCCAGAGAAGTGCACCTGGCACTTTTCAGAAAGCCGGAGCCGCCTCTGCATGGGTTCCCAGAAGCTCCTGGCGAGCTGTCAACATGTGATCAGAATGGACCAGTCCCCCGAAGAGATGCAGGGTGCCGTGCGGGACACCTTCCAGCACCTGGTCCAGCTGGCCGGCCTGTGCTTCCAGTTCACAGACTGCAGCCGCTGTTCCACTCGGCACAGGGAAGCAGCAGGGAACCTGAGGGACGTGGTGTGCGCCTACCATCAGTTCGTAGAGGCTGCTAGGCTGACCTGTGAGAGAGGCTACCACGACCTGAGTGTGAAACTCTTGGCCCGTCAGTGCACGGCTCTCACGGCTGCTGTGTTTTGTTTGACCCAGAAGTTCCGAGCATCCACTGCCCTGTGAGCAGGCCGGTTGCCCAGGCCCCTGCCTTGCCCTGGGCACTTCCCTGAGAAGCTCCTCCATTCCTCCACCACCCCTCCAAAATGTTTACTAGAGTATTCAAATAAACTGCTGCTTAATCCTGACCTGAATCATACAGAGTGATAAGTTTGGTTCAAAAGCATTCACTCATGTTCATTCAACAAACATTTCACTGAATACCTCCTCTGGGTCAGGCCACGTGCTAGGTCCTTAGGATAGAAAGGTGAATTAGACAAATCCCTGCCCCTGGTCAGGATTCTCACAGACCCTCGGGGGGATACAGATATGTAGCTTGCCATCAGTAAACTGTGCCCTAATAGTTTACCCTGGGGATGTGGAAACAGGAGGAATTCACAGACTGTCCCAGGATGACAGGGATGAGGGAGGAAGGTGGGGATCACTGAAAAATGGTCTTGACTTCACGTATCACACTGATTTGGCAATAACCTTCACAAACAGGAGTGAATACATGTGATATTTGATAGATTTTACCTTCACAAGGTTTGGTTTGCGGCACCTGCACCTGCAGGCCTGGTATTCTTGGCTGCCTGGCTATGACAAGCATAGGTTGCCACTAGGTGGCAGTTAAATTCCTTAGTTGCATGGTGACCCACATCCAGGAGTGGGTGCTCTGTGCTTTATCTCAAATTGACTGAATGCTGCACCCTTTTTCTCTGGTAAATACCTGTAAAGGCAAACATAAAGCCCTGAATTCAATTTGCCTTTTTAGGAATAATATTAGAGGGAAAGAAATATATTTAGTACCTTTCTCACTAATCCCAATTAAACCAGTTAATCCCAGTTAATCTTAGTGGGACGTTGGACAAGCTACTTAACCACTCAGTGCTTTGGTTTTCTCTTCTCTAAATGTTAATAGTTCCTGCTTTGTTGGGTAGAAATCTAATAAATAATCTAGTAAATACTCAGTAAAATTCAGTAGTAATCCCCAAACTTTATGGATGCCTCTCCTAGTGTGAAACCATTTCCTACATTTTGTTTTCAGACTCCAGGAAAACTGATCTCAAGATACCCCTGGGATCTTTTTCCCCCTGGCTTCTCTGTCCAGGCCAAAGCTGGCTTAGACAGTCACCTTGGGCTATTAGAGCTTGTTCAAGGGGGCCCTTTGTCCCTCTGGTACTCCTGATCACTTGTGTGTCTGCACTGGCCTCCCAATTCCTCTCCTTCGCCCAGAAAAAGGAGGGCAGAATGAGTGTATGTACCCAAACCCTTGGCAATCAGAGGAAAGCAATATTTTGGGAGACGAGAAGATCTCTTTCTCACCCCTTGTTACCAGTTATTTGTTAACTAACCAGTGAACCAGTACTTGTGCCAGGAAAAGATTTATTTTCTTAGAGGCCTGTTTCTTTTCACATAATATTTTGAATAAAATTTGAATAAGGCTCTCGAACATAGATTTGTAGTGATTGTGTGGCCATGAATAACAGGAACAATAGGACGCTGAAAAAATAAAAATTGTATAATGTTAAACAGGACTTGAACACTTTTACCAGCAGAAAGCTCTGAAGAGCTATGTAGCTTATTTACATGAACATAATCTGTATGTTTGCAAGTTTAAAGCAAGGAGCTTAGGACTTCAACTTAACCAGAGCTGGAATCCTGGCGATGTTGTTATAGGCACCATGCTGGGCCTCAGTTTCCCCAACTGACAAAAGGAAATAGTACTCGTCTCATTTAGTGAGGGCCTACAGTGTGCCAGATGCCTTACTTACATACCTCAAATACATTTTCTTATTAATGGGGACAACACCCCAAACTAGAGATTGTTATGTAATACACATTTGGCATATTGTGAGCAATAATAGTGGAAGGCGGGAAGAAGACTGTGAAGCCTCTGGCATGGGCACTCAAATGTTTATGTCTGTCTGTCTTTGCTTCCTCTCCCCTCAACTCCATGAACTTTCTTGGGCTGCTACTGTATGGAGTTAGTATTTTGCTCTGCACTAAGTCCCAGAAGTTCCAGGAAATCCCTCACTGCTTGTTGAGAAGCTAAAATGAGGGGAGTGGGGGCTGGTCCTGTTTAGCACCTTTTTTGAGATACACCACCCCCAACATGAATAGGCAGAATGGGATGCAATGCAAGAGCCAGTTGTTTAGTGACTAGGAAACTACCAGACATTTACACTCCTTCCTTTTCCCACTCACCATAATATTGGCTGATTCGTTTCTTAGACAAACATTTGTTACAACCATTGCAGGTGATGCCTGATGTGGGATTATGGATGTAAATAATTGGGTAAGAATCCTGTCTTCAAGAGCTCCTCGTCTAAGAGATAAGATGACATGTAGAGATAGAAACCTACAAATATAAGGTATGGTCTGCTCAGGGTGACCAAAGAGGACAGATAAGGTGCTAGGAGAGCTCAAAAGACAGAAGTCATTTTGTGGTTGGGGACAGAGTGGTGATCGTGGAAGGCTTCCTGTAGGAAGCAGCATTAATTAGAAGTAGCTACTGAGCATCAGGTCCTAGATTTGGTAGATAGGAAGGTAAGTTTGGAATGTGTTAAGAAAGGAGAAAAATCACTCATTTAGTGATTCTGTCAACACATATTTAGTGTGCAGTGGCACTGGGAATTAAATCATCAACATGATACATGTTCCCTCAGGAACTTATAACTAGTAGGAAAGACACAGAAAAAAATAAAAAGATTACTGACTGATAGGTCATGTAAAGAAATGAAGAGTGCCAAGACAGGGATGGGATGAGCCAATCTTACCTGGGTGATCAGTAAAGGTCTCTCTAAAGAGGGAAGGTTTAAGCTGAAGCCTAAAGGATAGGAAGGAGCCAGCCATGGAAAAAGTGAGAGGAAAGGGAACAGAATCTGCAGAGGGCCTTGGTATATTTGAAGCATTTCAAGAAGACAGGTGTGACTGGAACACAGCAAGCCAGAGGAAGAATGATAGGATGAGTTTAGACGGGCAGCCAGGAACCAGGTGGGGAAGGCCTTGGGAAGGTTAGACTTCACATCCAAGTACAATGGAAAGCCACTAGGGTTTGGAAAAGGGAGACACATAATCATCTGACAAACAGATATCTGCTGCGTGGTGGGAGTAGGGGGTTGGGGGGGGGGCGGTGGTCAGTGAGACCAGCTAAGAGGACTTTTCTGGGGGGTGGCCATGGGCTCATTCAAAGGTGAAGAGACACAAGAGCAGTGGCAGGGAGAGAGGAAAATTATCCAGTTGGGCTGAGGGCAAAGTGCAGGGACTGGTAGGTGTGGTGGGAGCCACTGAAGATCCTTTGAGCCACTCTGCAAGCCCTACTGATTGGGAAGCCAGCACCAGCTTCTGAGCAGAGAAGAGATGTTAGAGCTGGGTTTTAGGGAAAAGCCCTCTGGGGGATAAAGAATGTTTACTTTTAACATTTAAATTGCTGCAGTAGCAGATAAAGGATGGACTGAAGGATTAGGGACGGGGTGGGGGTGCTGGAGGATCTATGAAAAGAAAAGGCCAGAGAGGGAAACAGTATGGGGCCAAGGAGGGATCCAACAGGGCTGTGGTTTCTTGGGTGGGAGATAGATCAGGCTCTTACATGCTAAGGTCTCTTCCAAAGGGTGAGACCGCTGGGATAGCAGGAATAAAGGGAAGAGTAAAGAGTGACTGTTGGTTTTTATCAGGTCAAGACTTGGGCCAGTCTCTTCAGGGTCTCTGAGCCTCGCTTTCCCCCTGGGTCTGTAAGGGGAGAAGGAGAAGGGAGAGTGGCCAGAGGCTAGACTCACTTGTTAAGGGCCCAAGCCCGAATATCTCTATTGTCTGCCTAAACAGCCAGGTGGTGGTGAGGGCAGCTGTGTGCTCAGGGAAGCCTGTGTCAGTTCGTGGGCTCTGCTGGTTGTAGGGGGTCCAAGGGAGGGCAAGACCCCCAGGTTGTGAGAAGAGGGGTGGTTCCAGCCCGGTTTCAGCCCAGTTTCCCAATGCCCAGCCCTTGAGAACCATCAAAGCCTCGGGTTACCTGCCGCAGCCTGCGAAAGTGGCGAGCGGCGGGTATCGTAATCCCCGTCTCACAACCGAGGAAACAGGTTCAGGCAGGCGCAGCAATACCTGGGCGGTACGCAGCTCCTTAGTGCCAGTGTAGGTGGAAGGCAAAGCCTCCCACTGCCTCCGGCACACCAAGCTACCAGGCTGAAAACCACAACTCCCAGAATGCCACGCGGAGGGGGGCAGGAACCGGAAGTTGGCCCGGAGGCGGGGCCTGACGTGCGCCGCAGAGACTGCGCGAGGCGAGGGATTCAGGTACGCCTGGGGCTCGTTGGGTGGACGGACGTGGGGCCAAAGGGGTCTGACTTGGGGCTGCCGCCTGGTTCGTAGGTGGGACAGATGCCGGGAAGCGACCTTCGACAGTCGTGTGGCCTGGTGTCCTCCACCCTCTTGGTGCTTTCCCTTTCTGCCACCCCTCGCACTAGCAGGCTGTGGGCCAGACGGGGCCCACAGGCGGGGTACTCTCGGGCCTGGGGTCTTGGTGTTCTCGTGCTGAAGGTGCCAGAGGACTGGAGCCAGCTTCGGTGGACTAAAACTTAGAAAATGAGAGACGCAAACAGTTGTGCAGACAGAGGCTGGCCCGTCACTTAGGGCCCAGCGATATGCTCGTCAGGTGGGATTTGGGTTAGAAAAGATCTGAGGCTTCTGTCAACTCAGAGATGGGGATGGGTGGAGAATTTATTAAACCAGTAAGTATTTATTGAGCGTCTGTTATGTACCAAGCCCTTTTCTAGGCGTATAGGATAGAGTAGTGGACGAAACAAACAGAACACCTGCTTACGTTATAGGAATGGGGAAGTTCAGACAATAAGTAAAACATGTGCCATGTTGAACAGTGATATGAGAATAAATTGAGGCAGGTAGCCATATAATTATCTAGGGGAAGAGCATTGGAGGTAGACACGACAGCAAGTGCAAAGGCTCTGAGGTGGGAATATCCTTAAGTATGTTAGGAGCAGCAAGCAGACCAGAGAGTGCAGAGGACACTCGATGCAGGAGGTAGATCTTAATGAGCAGTATAGGCCATTGTAAGGATTTCAGTTATGTACTGTAAGTGAAATGGAGAATACTGCATAGTTCTGAGCAGAAGGGTAACATAATCATAAAACATTTAGGATGCTTGTGTTCTGCAAGGCTCAGTGCTGAGTACTGGGGGTGCGCACCTGAATTCTTTATCCTCTCTTCCCTGGGAGAGCTTGTAACGTAGTGGAGAAACAGACCAACTGTCAGTCAAGGCTGAGGTAGATAATTGGAGCCCCATGGAGGCAGAATGGACATCATTCCCAAATCCTCAGCATGTAACTATTTGTTAAATGATTGAGTAATTGAATAATTCCAGTACTTGGTCCTGGACCTGTAATGGAGGCTCAGAAAACATTTTTTAATGAAATGAAATGCTAAATCTGGGCATAGATAATGTCTCACACAGATTAAGAAGGTTTGTTTTTCTGTGATGCCCAATTTCATGTTTGCTTTCTGAGAATCACTAGATAGCAAGGCTCTATTCAGTATTTACTGAGCTTCCATTTTGTGCCAGGCCTTGTGCTGGCCACTGAAGATACAGAGATGAAAAAGATATGGTCCCTGCCCAATCTGCTATATTTCAGACTCTTTGGTAGTGGTTGGAATTGCCTTCATTTGATTTTCAATATTGCTGTATCCCAAGATCCTCAGGGACTATAGGAACTTGGGGAGGTCTGAGATACAAGGAGGGGACTAGGAAGAAGGGAATAGGGGTGGTAGTGGTAAAATTCAGTTCAACAAACATTTATTCAAACACTGCTGTTTGCAAGGTTCTACATTGTGAGCTCTTACAGTATTTACATAAATATAAGTACACAGTCCTTCCTGCAAAGGAATGCAGTTTGATGAGAGAGAAAACATGAGCACAGACCTTCCAGTTTTCTAAACAGCAATGGAAAACTCAGCAGCCCCTCCAGCTACTTCAACCCTAGCTCTCTTTTCTCCTTCTCAGCCAGACTTCTCCAATGAGACATCTACATTCATTACCTCTTAGTCGTTCCCCAAAAGGGTCTGACAAAGAGGAGGAGCTCAATGGATATTTATTGACTGAACGAATGGACAAACAGATGAGAATACAAAATGCTGTGGAGTTCAGAGGAGGGAAAGCACATGGCTGTTAAACTGGCATTCATTTAACAAATTGGTGTTTTCTCACCCTAATAAAATGAGGTTGTTAGGTGTTGGACCAGTTTATCTTAAAGTTTTCATTTTTCTTTTTTGAATGCCTAAATGCAGAAAAATGCAGATGACTCTGATGATGGGCACAACAAAACTTGCTCAGTCATCTAAAGGAATGGGTATAATGAGACTGGCTATCTTTTCTTAAAGGTATTTCTAATCAACATTGCCATTCATATGTGAACAGTGCAGTGCTTCTGAAATGCTTAAGAATAACTTGGCCTTTTCCTCGTTTTTCTAGAAATAATATGTACACTACTAAATTTTGTGTATGTCTTAAATTCATAGTGACACAGTCAATGGTATAAATAAATACATTAAAATTTGTACTGAGTATTAAAGAAAGGACTCCTGAGCATAAGTAAACTTTAGCCTGTGCAGGAAAATGAACACAAATTTCTAATCTGTAATTTTGAAAATCTAGAATGTAATTTACTTGGCCATATTCAGGAATATATCTGGTGGTTAAATGTTTACATGATGTGTGATGAATACCCCAAAACTGCTCAGAAGACTTACCTTTTTAGAAAGCCTGAAAGAACAGCACTGGAAGAGATTGAATAGCCTGTATTTCATGAGTAGTTGCTCCATGTCAGGCAAATGAAATAGGTCTAGTTCTTGCAACAGTCCTGGGATGTAGTATTATCCCATCTCAAAGAACCAGTGACAGAAAGTTAAGTGCTTTGGCTGTTATCCTACTACTCACAGGTAGCAAGCTGGGAAGCATGGCTAAATCCTAGGACTGCTACGTTTCCAGTACAACAGCCTATTATGTCTAAATGAAAAACAACTAGGGGCACCTGAGTGGCTCAGTCAGTTGTGTCCACCTTCAGCTTGGGTCATGATCTCACAGTTCGTGAGTTCGAGCCCCGCCATTGGGCTCTGCTGACAGCAGCCTGGAGCCTGCTAAGGATTCTGTGTCTCCCTCTCTCTCTGCCCCTCCCCTGCTCATATTCTATCTGTCTCTCTCAAAAGTAAACATTTAAAAAAAATTTTTTTTAAATGAAAAACAACTAAAATTTGGCCTCATTTTGAGCATTTGATGGAGTATAAGAAAACAGTATGAGCTTAACACTAGAAATGTTTGCTAGTAACAGGAGTCAGAACATTAGAGAACTAAATATAATCCTCGGACTCTACTTGTCTCTGTAGTGGGTAATATTTATATAGTTAATATAAATGCAGTTTATTGGTTTACGAATTTTAGAAACCACCAAGGGAATAGACAGAGGCCAAGAGGGTTAATTTTGATGACACATCACAATGTAGAGCCTGTCTTAAATATGTAAAATTAAAGCCTCAGCTTACCAAATTGGAACATTAAGGGTGGAAGAGAGAGAGAGGGGAAGATTAGGGTGTTTATTTTCAGAGCCTAACCTTAAGGAGTCAGAGGGTAATACATAAGATTGTTGAACAAGAAGTAGAAATTTAAAGGATATTCTTAAGCATAGTAAAGATGTCTTCTGGTAATTGTCATGACAGAGGTATGGGTATTGGACTTACCTTCTGATAAAAAAGCTGTAAAACTGGACAGATTATATGAAGAAACTGTTTTCAGCATTGGACAGTAAGCAGGACAAGACTGTTATCTTTGAGAGAAGTGGATTTGAGATGGACTATAGGCTTAAATGTAAAAACTAAAATTATAAAGGTATTTCTAGAAAGCAACATAGAATATCTCTGTGCTTTTTGGGTAGGCAAAGATTTCTTAGAAGACACAGACAGCATTAACTTTTATAGTTAATAAAAAAATAAAGTTAAAAAGTTAAAGAAATAAAGTTAATTAAAAATGATAAATTAGACTTGGTCAAAATTTAAAATTTCTGCTTAACAAAAGCCTTGTTAAGAAAATGCACGGGCAGGCCACACACTGGGAAAACCTCTTCTCAATACCCATGTCTGAAAAAAGACTTGTATCCAGAAATATGATAAACTTCAACAGTTCATTAATAAAAAGATAATTCAAAAATGAGCAGAAGACTTGATCAGAAATCTTATGAAGATATATTATGAATGGCCAATAAATTACATGAAAAAGTGCTTAATATCATTAACAATCAAAGAAATTCAAATTAAAACACAGCTAGGTTCTACTACACAAGAATGGCCAAGATTAAGAACTCTGGCAACAGCAAATGTTGGTGATGCTGCAGATCATCTGGAAGTCTGATTTGTTGCTGACAGCACTGTAAAGTGGTGCGGTCACTTTGAGAAACTGATGGCAGTCTTTTGTGAGTTAAATAGGCAACTATCCTATGCCCCATCAACTCTACTGTTAGGTACTTGGCCAACAGATATGAAGACATATGTCCACAAAAACACTTGTGTGAGAATGTTCTTAGCAACTTTATTCATAGTAGTCCCAAATTGGAAAAATCTCAAATGTTCATCAATAGGGAAATAAATTATGGTATATTCATACAATGGAATTCTGCTCAGCAATTAAAAGGAATAAACTACTAATACATGAAGTAACATGTATGATTCTCAAACACGTTGAGGGGGAAAATGTCAATGTCAGTGTTTGAATCCATTTATATGATGTTTTATAATAGGCACAGTTAATCTATGGTTATAGAAAAAAAACAATGGTTGCTTTTGTCGGGTTATGGGAATGGGATGAAGATTGACTTGCAAAGTGCAGAAGGAAAGGAACATTCTGGAGTGATAGAAATGTTCCATATCTTGGGGCACCTGGGTGGCTCAGTCGGTTAAGCATCCAACTTTGGCTCAGGTCATGATCTTGTGGCTCACAGGTTCAAGCCCCACATTGGTTTCTGTGCTGACAGCTCAGAGCCTGGAGCCTGCTTTGGATTCTCTGTCTCCCTCTCTCTCTGGCCCTTCCCCTCTCAAGCTCTGCCTCTCTCTCTCTCTCTCTCTCTTTCTCTCTCTCAAAAATAAATAAACATTAAAAAAAAAAAAGAATGACTAAAAAGTTTAAAAAAAAAAAGAAATGCTCCATATCTTGATGAGGGTGTAAGTAACACACCTATGCTTTTGTTAAAAACTCATTGAGCTGGTATGTTCTCTCCACACACACAATATTGAGCTGTACCTAACCTTTGGGTTTTACTGTATGTAAAATATACCTCAAAAAAATTTAAAAGTCAGTGTAACAGAAAAATAAGAGGGGATATTATGAGTGATTTGAATTCTAGTGTTTCATAGGGAGTTGATAAAAGTTAAAGTTGATTCAAGAAGTAATGGAAAGCATATGATTTCAGGATAAGGAGTTAATTACCGGATGAACTATAAAGACCTGATTAACAGGTTGGCACTAGAGGTGGAAGGGATTGGAATGAGGATCATTACTTTTCATTATAAATCTTTTTTTTTTTTTTTTACCATATGCATGGATCATATTACATACATTTGCTTTTGCAAAGCTATACTTTTCCGAAGATGGTGGAAATGCACTGGACTCAGAGGTGCAGCCATGAACAATGGACATATGTGACACTTAACTGTAGGCTAGAGTGGTTTTTTTAATTTTTAGAGAGAGAGAGTGTGAGTGGGGGAGGGGGCACAGGGAGAAAGTGAGAATCTTAAGCAGGCTTCACACTCAGCCTGGATTCAGACGTAGGGCTCAGTCTCAACAACTGTGAGATCATGACTTGAACTGAAATCGAGAGTCAGACGCTTAACTGAGCCACCCAGGTGCGCCTAGAACATTTTTTACTTATAACCTTTGCAGGGATTTTGAACAGCAGTTTGAAATTATGGCCCTTGTTTAGTGTGCCATAGCAATGGGTTCTCCATAATTTCCTACCTCAGCACTTCTGATGGATATTAAGTTTTCTCACTGGTGACAGTGGCTTTCAATGCAGTGATACTTAACTGAGTTGGGAGAAGGAATACATAGTTTGGAAAAACAAATTGTGATACATCACTAGCAACCTAGAATTCTTGGTTGGTTTCAGGTAACTCTTCACCATATGTTTTTGGCTAGCTCTTACCTTCCTAGGATATTTCTAGTAGTGGACTTCACATATAGTAGGTGTTCAATAAATGTTTGCTAAAGGAATAGTTATAAATATAAACTGAAACATAATGGAGGAGGTGGCTTTTGCCATTTCTGTCCCACCCTCAACTACTACATGCGTTTTGAAGAACACAGTAAATGACTTGACCACCTGTGTCACTGCAGCCGTGAATCATTGGTGATTGCTAGGAGCTGTCAGGAGCTGTGCTTGTCTTCTAAAAAGTGGATTTAGCCTCCTTGGTATTGAAACATTTCTGGGCTGACCCATTTCTCTGGAAGACACAGACACTTTTCTCCATTCAATAAGTCTGTGTTAATATTTCCCACATGTCTACTCCTTCAGCAACACAGTAATGCTATTTGACATTGGGATGCAGGGAAATACCTCCGTAGGTGAAATAAGGTGACGTCTCACGTAATTGTGCCTTTTTCTGACCTAGGTGAAAAGGACAGAAGACTAAGCACATGGACTGGAAATTGGAAGGGAGTGCTCGGAAAACAGACTCACGCGTGCTGCAGGAGCAAGAAGTCATCCTAGAGGACACAGGTGAAGACAGCATCTCTGAAAGCTTCCAGCTTCTACAGATTGATGTGGAATGTGAGCATCTGGAGGGAGAGACACTGCCCACAGGCAGTGCAATGTGGTGCTCAGTAAGTGCAGCGAGTTGCCTGGCCGTGGGCTTTGCGATGGTGCTATGTCCCAGACACCCCTGTTCTGAGGGTAGGTACTAGTACCAAAAAGACTAGGAATAAGTTTGGTGTGCTCCAAAATTGGATGAATTTCCTGCTACTGGTTTAAGGTTTCAGTTCCACTTGAGTCATAAGAAAAGTATATAAAGTGCAAGAGGAATTTTTTTTAAGTTTATTTATTTATTTTGAGAGGGAGAGAGAGAGCACGAGACGGGGAGTGACAGAGAAGGAGAGTGAGAGAATCCCAAGCAGGCTCTGAGCTGTCAAAACAGAGCCCTACGCAGGGCTCGAACCCACAAACTGAGATCATGACCTGAGCTGAAATCAAGAGTCGGACACTTAACCGACTGAGCCAGCTGGGAAGAGGAGTTTTTGATACACCTCAGAAGGGTCAGGAAATCTAAGCTCTGCCTTAGGCCCTGTCCCTAATACATTTACTTTGGGCATATCACTTCTCTTTTCTGGGGCTCTGCTTTCTCTTAACACAATCCAGTCTTTTTTTTTTTTTAAGACTAATATCTTTGTTCTCTCCTAACTTTAAATCTAACTTAAAAAAAATTAAGTAATTGTTTTGAATATTCATTTTCCTTTTTGTTGCTTACGAAGTTCTCAAACAATTTTGTTTTCTCGATGACATAAGAAAAATGTCCAAAGAAAACAGAGACACTGGGAAAAGATAGTTGCAGCAAAGAAGAGCAAAAGAAAGCAAGAAAAAGAAAGAAGAAAGGCCAATCGTGTAGAAAATTCAGGTAAAAATAAATCCGATTGCTGGTGTAGTCATTTATCTCTTTACGGACTAGTATCTGCATGTTCTTAGGAGAGTAGGAATATTGTTTTTAAGGAAAAACAAACCTCTTGGAGGTAGGACCTGTTGTTCTGTTTTTGGGGGAATCAAAGTTTCAAAGACAGAAAAGTTTAAGGCTGCCCTAAAACACATAGTGAACATATGTGTTTATAAGCTCAGAAGTAGAAGGAATGATAACCACAGGAGCTAACGTTTATTGAGTGCTATGTGCTAGGTTCATTGCTAAGAATTTTACATGGCTTACCCTGAGGGGTAGGTGCTTTTATTATCCCCATTTAGTAGGTGAAGAGAGTGAGGCTCAGAAATTAAATAATGTGCCTAAGACTATCTAGTAATAAGTAAATGGACTGAACTCTGAGTTAGACTCAGCAATGTTCTCCAGAGCCCACACCCCTCACCATTCAGCTGCACCCAAATGAATAAATATCTTGTATGAGTTTCAAGTTTCTCTTTATGTACAAAAAATATCACTTGGCTGGGGAGATTCTTTTCCAACTGAATGTATTCCTCTCTTTTCCCACTTTTACTCCTTTTTGATATTTCTACTTCAGGCATCTGCCCCCAGCACAGCAAACGTTTTCTGAGATCCTTAACCAAGGAGAGACTTTTGGAAGCCAAACACTCAGGACCAAGACTCTGTATTGATTTGAGTATGACCCACCACATGTCTAAGAAGGTAGGACATCCATTAAGCTCTGAATTCCTGCTCACATGAAGGACGTCCAGAAGGGAAAAGCTTTGACAAAGAGCAGGACCACTTCCAGCCTCTGTAATTCCGTAGTAAACCAGCAAAAGTGTTTAGTTTTCTCCATATGGCTTCTCAGTTCAAATTGGCTGTTATAAAGAATCAGGAAGAGAATAGATACCCTCTGGTTTAGTCTGCAAATTTTATCTGATCTTCTGTTTTGAGCCCCACCTTGTTGTCTCAGTGTTCATGGTGTCTCCGGTCTAGGTGGAGCCTTTCATGTTCAGTCCTCCAGAAATGAAATCTGGCTTTCTACTGGGGAGAGGAATATTTGCCTAGTTACATGTTGATGAGATGACCTTGTAGGAGGTCTTCCTATAACATATGTGTTTTAATCGTTTTCCATTCACCCCATTGGTAAAGGAGGGATTCCACCCTAGGGTTTTGGGGATGGCTGAAGAAAACACACTTGACATTGGACAGATAAGAATGATAGCAGTTTATTAGTCACGTGTACTCAGCCCAGGGGGAGGAGGACACTGCATGCCATGCAGGACCACATGGGATTATACTTGGGGACAGAATGAACACAGGGGCTGTGGGAGGCAGGCTTTGTAGTATCATGAGGGTGGTGTGCTCCCTGGTTCCTGCAGGAAGATGTGATTAATTTTCTGGGAATAACTCCATGGGCTGGCAGGGAATTGAAACTCACTACTTGGGGATAAGCAGGAACTAGCCTGGTCCCTTTGACAGAAAGGATTGTTTAGCTGGGGGGCCTTGTCTCTGGGAGCAGAACTGGGGGAAGAGCTTGCATTTACTTGGACTTTCAGGGCCTACCTGGTTTCACCAGATGTCTAGGAAACACACAGTATTGGGCCTTAATTTTTGGCCTTACACCAAAAACCAGGTTCTTCTGTTTGCCAACATCTCTGTCGTATATGCCGGTGTTTGCGTGTTTTTCAGAGAAACTAGGAAGACTGAAGATTTGGGGTTCGTACATGGAACCTCTAAGTATAGCCCTCTGAAAAGGTCAACCAAGAATTTTCTACTGTTTATTTTAATTGAGATCAGATTAAATCAAATCCAGAGTGTTTTTTTCTCTCCTGACCCAGATCAGGCCAGATTGTGAAACTACTTTTCTTGAGGTGATGTCTCTGAATCAGGATGGAAAGTTAAAACCTCTGACCCTGTTACATCTCCTAGAGTTAGGGTAAGGTGCCAATTTTATTTGATGGAGTATAAAACATGTCTGTTTAGTAATCTAACCTTTTAAAAATAAACAGTAAATATCACATGGTAAAATTTTAGATATGAGCTAAAAGAACAATTCCATATATCATATTAGATATATAACAGCAGGTCCAGAAGGAGAGAGAGTTCAGAGTCTTTCCATTAACTCACTATTTTTGGGCTAGTATCATTACCTTAACTTTGATCTATAAGGTGTGTGTGCCATGGAGTGTAACATGCATATGCTCACATATACCCTCCGTACTCATTCTTGGAGTAAAAGGGGCCATTCTAGTTCATCAGATTTCTCAGAGTAGCATTCAGTGAACTTACTGAGTAACCATTTGTTTTGTTGTGTTGTGTTTTGTTTTGTTTTGTTTTGTTTTATGGTATGGTATGGTTTTTTGTTTTTTTGTTTGTTTATTTGTTTGTTTTTTTGAGAGGGAACGCGTGAGCCCGGGAGGGGTAGAGAGAGAGGGAGAGAGTGAGAGAGAGGGAGAGAGAGAGAGAGAGAGAGAGGGAGAGAGCGAGAATCTCAAGCAGGCTCCACACTGTCAGTGCAGAGCCCAGCACAGGGCTCAGACTCATGAACTGTGAGATCATGACCTGAGCCAAAATCAAGAGTTAGATGCTTAACCAACTGAGCCATCCAGGCATCCCTAACCATTTGTTGGTAGTGAATTTAGAAAGAGTGGGCATGCTTCTAGTCTGAGTTGTCGTTATTTCTTTGAAGGAGTTAAGTAGACTGGCTGGACAGATCCGAAGGTTGTATGGTTCAAATAAAAAAGCTGACAGGCCATTTTGGATCTACCTCACTGGATTCACAACAGACAGTCACCTGTATGAAGAGTGTTTGAGGATGAATGATGGATTTTCTAGTTACCTGGTAAGCCTCATTTTGCATATTACTTGAAGTGTCATTTGAAAAGTAGATTGTATGATAATAGTAAATTTTTTTTAACTTTTTCGTATTTTTATATAAAAATATACTAATTCTATATTTTCACTATTGCAATCTAAAAAACTTTAGAATCTCTCATCAGTTCTTCTATTTCTAAACTTTCATCCTTCCACTGCATTGGCAGACTAATATTACCAGGTATCTAGGACTGTATTTTGTATTCTGTGTGTTGTATGCTAGACTGTATACTCCACGAATGTTTTGGGGGAAATGCTGTGACTCCTTTCTTGTTTACAGTAGTGCATAATTAGGGAGCATGAGTTATGGGGGAAGAGAAAATCTTTATGAGAGTAATGTGGACTCAAGGTGAGTTTTAGGGAGCATTCAGTTACTTTTTATCTCTTTCCCTAGGGTCCCATGAATGTGGTGATCATAATACAGGCAACAATCCAGAACACTTCCTAAGAAGTGCCACTAAAAATGTCTTGTGTGTTTGTGTTATGTAGCTGGGACTGGGTGGTGTGGACTTTTCCTAGGGAGGTTCACAGAGGAAGAGAGTATGAAACGTGCCCTGTGTGGTCCTGCAGTTAGTTGTGGTCGCTGTTACTGTCTGAGTGTCTCTCCTACAGTACAGCCAGTTCCTGCTTCTCTTCTCTGTGCGGGTTTTATGATTCTCGTACGTGAGCCCCACAGACCCACTCTTAGGGTCACATGGTTCCCTTGCTTTCCCATCTTCATGCCTTTCTTAGGTGATTCTCCCCATTTTCATTGCTACTTCCTTTTGTATGTGTCTATCTCATCTCTTTTCAGAAACCAAGTTCCAGCATTCCCTTCATTAGAAGGTTGTCCCTGGTGTTGTCACTCCCTCATCTGTTATCCTGGGGCGTGCTTCCTGTACATCTGTTAGGGTGTTGTATTACTTTCTATCTTGTTTTGTAGAATGTCCTTTCTACTTCCTCTCCCCATTGAAGTACGTTGTGAGAACAGATTGTCAGACATGTGTCCCCTTGATGCACTTAGAGCCATGCCTAACAGAGAATTGATGCCTGGTAACTAGATGCTGCAGTGTGGGCTGTGTCTTAACCTAGTTCACACTACATTGGATTATTTACATTTTTCAGCTAGACATAACAGAGGAAGACTGCTTTAGTTTATTTCCTCTGGAAACCCTTGTGTACCTGACTCCTGATTCAGAACATGGTATGTACTTTCCTGCATGGATTCATGTAGCACTTTGTTCTAAACCCTGTGTTTGATTATTCCCTGTGTCAGAATTTATTAAAGCCACCCAAGGTGTATCAAAAAAAACAAAAGGAATGAACATTAATTGCACACCTCTTATGGGTGTATACCTCACTACACTTTGCACATGTCCTACTATGTGTGCACAGCTGCACAGATCTAGGGTCTCCAGCCTCATTGGACCTTGTGACCTACCTGGTAGTCTTTTCCAGTTTCCCTGGTCAGCTCCCCTCCTTGGCCCTTCTTGGATCAATGTTAGATATGTGTTTTTTCCAGAAAATCAACTATTTCACATACTTTTCAAATTTATTGGTATTAAGTTGATCTTAGTATTCTTTCCTAATTATTTCACATTCCTCTGTAATTTTTATTTTGTCTCCTTTATGAATCCTAATGTTGATTTGAGTCGACTGCCTTTTTTTTCTTGGTTAGATATGCCAAAGCTTTGTCTTTTGAGAAAATTAGCAAATCTATTACCTTTTTGTTTCCTACTTTATTAAATTTCTACTTTTATCATTAATAATTCTTTCCTTTTACTTTCTTTGGCTTTAGAAATTATAAAACAGATTTGATCTCAATGGCCTTCATTTTTTCATTAGCTCTTGAAGATGTTGATCTAAACAAAGTTTACATCCTTGGTGGACTTGTGGACGAAAGCATCCAGAAGGTAAACGTGCATTTTAGACCTAACAGCTATATTTTGAAAAGTGGGGCTTCCTTTCAGAGGTAGCTGCCCTATCATAATCTTACCCAAAAGGCCTAAGAACTCAGAATAGGAAGAAGGAACCTCTCCTGCCTCAGCTGGCCCTCCTGCTTGTGAAATTCCCTTTCTCATCAATGTTAGTGATCCTGACCTGGCAGTCCAGTCAGGAACTGGCATGGGGAGTGTTTGGTAATTACATAAAGAGCCGTTGTTGAATTTCTTTTCTCCTGTCTTCAGTTCTGCAAGGATAACTCTGATCTTGACCAAGGAAGCATTGATTCAGCATTCTTACCACCTAATTGTTCTTTATGAGAGTGGAGTTTGTTCCTTCTTAGGCCGTCTTTTCTGCTGACATAAGTTTTATCCTATAATTTTGATGTCAGTAAGACTGTGCGGATTTCTTTTGTTGAGTTGGAATTTTATTGGAATAATTGGAGTTTTGAAATATGTTTCTATTATACACACATTTGTTGAGATAATTGTTATTAGTTTATATCACTAACATATTGCATACACAATAAATAATGATATAATAAGGTCTATAAAAAGAACTACAGTGAGAAATAAGTCTCCCTCCTATCCTTGTCCTACAGTGCCCCCCACCTGAGCCAACCACTATTTTCTTGTGTATACTTCTTGATATAATCTATGATCACACAAGTGTTTGTGGGTATATTACATATATGTATTTTTTAATATATGTGAGTGTATTTTGGATATTTTTTCATATCTGTAGAGATATACACACATATTTAATACAGGTGATACTTTTTTTAAAATTTTCTTAATGTTTTATTTAGTTTTGACTGAGAGAAAGAGAGACAGAGCATGAGCGGGGGAGGGGCAGAGAGAGAGGGAGACACAGAATCCGAAGCAGGCTCCAGGCTCTGAGCTGTCAGCACAGAGCCCGACGCGGGGCTCAAACTCACGGACTGCGAGATCACGACCTGAGCCGAAGTCGGACGCTTAACCGACTGAGCCACCCAGGCACCCCAATACAGGTGATACTTAACTGAATTGCATTTATTCTAAAAAGGTCAGTGTTCTGGGGTGCCTGTGTAGCTCAGTTGGTGGAATGTCTGACTCTTGGTTTTGGCTCAGGTCATAATCCCAGGGTCATGGGATCGAGCTCCTCATTGGGCTCTGTGCTGAGTGTGGAGCCTGCTTAGGATTCTCTCTCCCTCCCTGTCTCTCCCTCTGCCACTCTCCCCCACTCTCTCTCTCAAATAAATAAAATGAAAAAAAAAAAAGGTCAGCATTCCATG